ATTTGGTCAAATGATCGATTGATTGATTAACTTTTTGGACCAAATTTATTTGTTAATAGTAAAATATTAACAGAAATGTTATTAAATATTTGTTTTAATAACAAAATATTAATATTAATATTAATATCCGTTTTTCTGTTTTGGTAACAGAAAAGTAACTACCCTCTTCAATTTTTCCTCTTTATTTTCCCTCTTTATTATTGAGTAAATGGCCATTTATGTAATGGCATTTATGTTGTGGGCGTTTTGCATAAACAGCCATTCTGAAGAGACCCAACTTTGGCTATAAATACAACACTATTCTGCTCAGAATTTTAACTACAATTTTCTGAGTTTCCTCTCCTTCTTCTGCATACTTTCAGCATCAAAACAAAGCAAAAAGTAAGTGTGATTTGCTACCGAACTTTGTGTTCGCTGAAACACTGGGGTTTGAAGTACCACTACACCAGTGTGTAATTCGTTCTATCCTGGGAGGAAATAATCCATAACCTTGGGTACTAGGAGGGGATTAAATTCCTTAAGGAAACACTGTGAATTCAGTGGGCTCGAATTGGTTTATGTCACTTCTGTTTATATTCATTTATATTTCCAGAATTTATTTTACAAATACAGTGTAATAACAAACTCAACCTCGCAAATCGTTACAGGATAAATGCACTTACATCATAGGGATGGAACAATAAAAAAATAATGCATTTCAAACCAAGCCATCATATGATTCGTTCTTCCCATTGAACTTGGTTATAGGATCTCTTGTCCCCAGGTTAGGTTTCCTCATATATGACTTATGAGTTTATGGGCTTCAATCCCATCCCCCTCGATGTACTCCAGACCATTTCTCTTGCCAAGGCCTTGGTTAGTGGATCTTCAAGATTATCACATAATCAACATTAGTAGTACCACTTGTCAAATAACTCACAATATTATATTTTTCTCCTTAGGTGTCTGGATTAACCGTTCTAATAACGGTTTTGTACTCTACCAATAGCAGCAGTGCTATCACAATAAATTAAAATAGGAAGAATTGGTTTTTCAAATAAGAAATTTGAAATAATAAATTTCTCAACCAATTCGCTTCCTCACTAGCTGAAGATAAAACAATTAGCTCAGCCTTCATGGTAGAGTTAGCAATTATTATTTTTTTTTATTTCCAACAAATAGCACCACCTCTCAAAAATAAAATGTTCCAATCTGTATTAGAAAAGCCTTCAAGTACAGCATGATACTTTTTATAAGAAAAGCCATAGGTTTTTGTTCCAAGTAAATATCTCATAACACTTTTTATGGCATGCCAATGTTCATTACCTGGCTTGCTTGTAAACCTGTTAAATACTCCTACTGCGTATGCAATATCAGGCCAGGTGCAATCTGTCACATATTCTCAAGCTTCCAATTAAGCTAGCATATTCCTTTTGATTTATCACATCATCGTCACTTTGTATAGGAAATAAGCGAACACTTAAATCAAGAGGAGTTACAACATACTTGCAATCAATAAAATTATATTTTTTTCAAAATTTCCTCAACATAATGTGACTGGTCAAGGAACACTCCATCACATGTTCTAGTAATTTTCATTCCAAGAATGAAATTTGCCTCACCCAAATCTTTCATGTCAAAGTGGCTACTCAGCATGCTCTTAGTTTCTCCAATCGCATTCATGTTAGAGCCAAATATTAGCAAATCATCAACATAGAGGCAAACATTATATTACATGTGAATTATTCAAGGCTTATGATAGATGCACTAATCACACTCTTTGATTTAATCAACTTTCACTCATGCATGAATATTCAAATTTTTCATGCAAGAATTTTTTTATTATTATTTACCTCCACTATTTTTAGAATTATGAAATTTAAAATTATAAATAAAATAATCACATACTCATAAAATATAAGGTAAATTATTATTTTTACCTTTGCTCCGCTTGAGTTAACCATATAATTTATTTTACCTTTCAATCTCATAAAGAGAGTGAACTTCTGTCTTGATATCCACTATTTTTTCAACTGCATAAAAAAATTGAATCTCCTTCAAATTGTTGTTGATAATAAGATGAAGAAAAATAAATAAATATTCTTCATGCTGAGGCGAGGATATCTTGCTCTCTTTAAGGAGATTCAAGCCCACTGCAGTAGCATCTTCACCGGTCCAGCAGTAATACTCTTGACTTGTCCCCTCCAGGATACAACAGCCCAACAACGTCGTATGACTCGAACAAACTCTGGACAAGTTGTTGAGTCCAAAGCTCCACCAAAATGAACACCTTCCTTCAACAAAAATAATATTCTCTTTTGTAGAGAATAAGTTGGAAACTTAGATTTCTCCTTCTCATAACTCTATTTTTCACTACACCAAGTTCACTTTTTTCATACACACTACCATATTTTCCCCACACCAAACACAAGGAAAAAACATCACTATTTATAGGTGTAGAATTTCTTCCATGAAATAAATAACAAAGTAGTGGCATAATAAAGTTATAGACATGGTTGGTTGTTACAAAATTTAATACTTAGTGGGTAATTAGTGGTAGATCATGGCATTAGTGGTTTCAAGAGTTACACCAAAATAATGACCACTTTCTTACCAACTTATAACCACTATCTCACAAGAAATAATGCACTTTAATATTATAATTTTAATATTAAAATGCACTAACACCAACAAGAGGTAACTGCCTATAATTAGTAAATTGGAAGAAACATTATGCTGTATTAATATCATTTAATAATGAAACATCTATTGAGATCAGCCAACCTCCTTGTTGATTAATTGCAATACACAAACTGATAACAAAAGACTCGGACTAAAGGCCACAAGCAGTGATAATTGCCCTATGAAGATTCACTTTCGTTACGGTTCCGGTGGATTCCCTTAACCAAGCCAGTGAGGTATTGGCTAGATTAATTTAACCAAAAGAAGGGGGAAAACATTAAAAGAATCCATGATCATAATCCAAAGTATGGTTATGAGTGTAATTTGAAGCATCTAACTGGCTTGATGTCATAGTTATCAAAAATCCCAACACCATTTGCAATCAAAGAGGAATAAATACTATTCTGATGAGTGGTTACATTCTTGTTCAATTCTTCCATTGAATCCTTTAATTGCTCAAGCTCATGTAAAGCAAGTTCACATATAGGGGCTTCCCACCAACATTGTTTTTGCCTAGTTTTCCTCATTTGATTAAGTGTTTCACCTTTTTTCTTCTCAACTTCAAGCTCAACAAGTATTTGAGTGAGTTTCAAGTTGAGGTTAAGGACATTCACATGTCGTTGACCCTCGACGAATTGAAGTCGATTGGAGATTATTGGATGAGGATTTCTTGAAAGAAACCTATCGATAATAGACTCAACATTAGGGTGGCCAAAAGAGTAAACTTTTTTGGCAGGGGAGAAAACTATAATGGCGAATTCAACCCCACATAGAGTACATAGTTCACTAGCTTTCTTGAAAAGTCCTGAACGACGTTTGGAGAAGGTAACTTGGAGGTGATTCTTCATCTCTATTTTTGCAATTTTGATCTTTTTCCTACCCATGCTAGGGTTTTTTGCCATGGCTAGAACTATAAAAACAAAGACAATTGTTTTTACAAAAGAATGCAACAGATCAATTGTGTGGATTGAGCGTAAACATGTACTACTATTTAAAGGGGGTTTAGAGTTTAATCTGCAAGTTTTTGCTACATAATTGTCTTTAAATGTTTTTACTACTATGTTTTTTTTTTATATAACTCATTTATGTATTGATTTGGGAGTTATAATATCTTAGTGTCTTAATGCATGGATAAGGGGAAACTGAATGCACCTTAGTTGGCATTATTCCTCAGAAGTCAACATATATTTCAATATATCAAAATATGAGTCAATAATTTATTCAATATATCCCATAATCAATATTTACAGCTTGAAGTATTTGTATTTAGCAATTGTCAACCCTTTTATTAGTTGGTCCTAATGGAGCTAGTGAGGCTAATGATGATAATCAAGAGGAGTGATTAAGCTCTCAAAAATAAATGATTATAATGTGAGAAAGAGAGAAAATGTTCCCCTAACATTAGATACATATGATTAGTTATAAATCATTTTTTCCAGTAATGAGTTGGAACATAAAGCCAAGCTACTAAATTCTTATAGTTGGATTACAATTGTGATGTCGTAATTAACTTGAGCCACTAATTAGGTGACCATAATTGTAGATCTTGATGGATTGCAAAACATATAAGTTACACAAAATAGAGATAAAAATGTTAAGTGTAAAAAATTGTATTGGAAGGAAATGGGTTCATATTTTTTTTGGTTGGAAGGTTCATATTATCTTCTATATTACCATATTAAGCTTATTATTGGAAAATATTTGTTATATATATATTATATATAATATATATATATATATTATATAATATATATATATAATATATATACTATATATATATATATAAACATATAAACTTGTTTTTCACTTTGACATTATTTTACTTTTGCGCTATTATTGATGATATGAATTGAGCTAAAAGAAAAAAGTAAAATTTCTTATAGTTGATCCAACCATTGGGGAATAAGCCGTTGTTGACGTTATTGTAGTTTGGATGTGGCACAAAATTTTTAATAATGTAAAAGCAATAAAGACGACGTTTTGAAATATGGAGTTTATATATAATGTGTGTATAGCATAAATAAATTCCCTTCGAATTTTGTGTGTTTAAAACAAATGTTATATCCTTCCTATAAGAGGTACTTGTGCAATAGATAACTGATGAATTAGAAAATCTTACTAAATATAAAATTAGGTATTCTTTTTGACATATACTAAAACAAACAATAAGACATAAACTAAATAAAACAGACAGAATAAAATATATATCCATAAATAATTAGAAATTAAGTAAGTAATAAACATATTTCCAACCATATATATCCACAAAAACAAATTTTTTAATATCTATTCATATAATAAAATAACCTAATGTTGAATTAACAAAATTTAAAATCTTTTGCCACATGAATTCTCTCTGAAAGTAAGGAGAGCGTTACCAATAAACATATGGACACATTGCTTCATAATAGCCACTGAAAGTCTCCTCTTTAACGCAACAAGTATTTCAAGATTTTAATAACTCCAGATGTGAGGTATCAATAACACAAACAGGAAATATGCATAGAGAATCTCATATGATTAGAAACTTGAAGTCAAATAAATGGTTTCCTTTCTCATTAATAATTAATCCCTTTTGATCATTTTCACATTCATTCTCTTCTGGTCACAACGTTGCATGACAAATGCGTTGCAATATGGCCATTGGCTGCAATGGAAAGCTGCCATTGTGGAATCATCAAAAAGAACTTCTTTTACCTAAAAGAAGAAACCCCAATTTTGAAAATTCAAAATGCTTGTCCTTCCTAAAAATTTGCTGATTTCTTCATTGCTATCTGTTGGTGCTGGTGTTCTTGGTTTAACCTTAATACTTTTAGAGAACCGGTTGGATTACTTGGTCTTGTTACGCTATTTTCTGTTGCCAAGGCTTTAAACTTATTGCATGGTATGATGCTTTTTAATCATACAAAAAAGACTTGATCTTTCTTTAATTGGTGATTCAAAGAATTTCATCTTTTGGAGATTCTTGGTTTTGTTGTTTGTGGTCCCAATAGGGTAGATTGCCTGTTGAAATGTTATGATTGGTTTTAGCTCTAAGTTCGGATTCTGCATTGGCTATCTTATTTTTCACTTGGCAATACATTATCCTCATCTTTTGAGTTTGTCATAAAGGTTTTGGAATTGGAATTCCCTTGTGTTTTCATCTGCTAAAAGTTTGTATATATGGGTTGTTTTCCATTTAATTGGGATTAACTTCATATTCCCGTCATTGACACTTTTTAGCCCCTTTGGGTATATTTGCGGATGTAGCCCAAATTGGTGGCATGGGCGAGTTATGGTTGAAGGAGGTTGATGACTTTTACGAATCAATGGCCAGTTGATATACA